AGGTGTCTGGGGCACCAAGACAAGTAATGGGACAGGACCCAGGCTAGGAGGAGAGACCGGCGGGGGAGAATTATGAAACTCAACACTACATACAATGACTATACACTAAGAAAAAAGATAAAAAAATGAGGAATAGTTATACTTGTTCTCTTACAACCCACTTTTCTCATTTAACTATGCATTATTCTACCTTTCATATGAATAAAACTATCATACAACACAAATAGAATCTACAGCACTTTGATTTTGTACTTGTAGCCTCTAGAACCCCAGGAAATAAATATCTGCTGTGTAAGCCGTCAGCTTATTATACTCTTGTTGAGGTCACCTAGCTAGACAACTACATAACATATAAGCACACAGAAATGCACAAAGAATGAGGGAACATTTGGTATTCATAAAGAGATTTGTAACTTATTTGTAACATGACTAAGTGAAAAAAGTCAGGGACAGATGCATATCCCATAGGTTGACCACTGCATTGACAAGGACACACATTTGCTTCTGTTTTTGAAAACAACTCAGGGAAAACAGTAATAAAATGTTAGCTATAGAGACAGAGTGGGACAGGATAGAGGAACGAATTATATCCTATCCTAAGAGCCTACTGCTTCCCCACTGTAATCCCTCAAAAGGAACTCCAGTGTTGGTTATCTGGAGTCAGAAGTCAAGTCAACCAAACTTTCTTGTTTACATCTTCCATCCACCTTAAATACACAGAAAATATCCAGAAAGGATGGTGTGTGCTAACCAAACAAGGAGTACCACTCTGGTCCTTACCACCATCAAACATTAAAAATATCTGACTGGTTGATTGATTTTATTGCCTGTAATTACACCTAAGCCTTCAAAAAAAATTTAGAATGAAAATGTGTTGTAAGTTCCTCAAAGTTTATTTGTAAAGACATTAGTTTATACCTAAATGTGTAATGCCTGCAGTTAGCTAAGAGAAGCCTATCTAAACTGTGACAATGTCAGGCAACTCTACATTTCCTTGTCTGTATTTCCACAAAACTTTAAGGAATCTTTTAAAAATTAGCTCAGTGATTTCAATAACCTTGAGACCTAATTAGATAGTTTTTGGCATACTTATTTAGTAACATTTGGTATCACACAGTCTTGAGTGTTTTTTAGTTAGGAAAGCTAGAATAGGAAGTGTTCCATGAGACTGAGCATTATAAAAAAAAAAAAAAATCAAGATACAGAAAACTGCAGTGAAAAAGCATACGCTTCCAAATAAATTTATATATTTGCATAAATGTTCTTTGCTTAATAATGCATCCCCTTGGAACAGAAGAAAGAAGTTATGACCCAACAATAACATCCAGAAATATTGTACCATATGAATCAGCAACTTCAATTTTTTTTTTTTTTTTTTTTTGACAGACAGGGTCCCCCTGTAGCCAGCCTGGCCTGGGTCTTACAGAGATCCACCTGCCTTTGCTGAGATTAAAGGTGTGTGCCACCACGCCCAGCTAACCTGTTATTTCTTAGATTTGCTTAAACGTAGAACCATTGCAGCATCTTTTGCAGTAGTATTTCACAAAAACTGTTCCAGAGAATGGCGGATAAAAGTGACGGTAGATGAGGAGGAAAAGCAGATGGTTTCGTAGTGACATCTTAGATATAAAGCCCTATCCAAGGGAGGCTCATCTTTATTTTGTGAATTCATACATGTATACATATATGAAATCTGATCGTATCTACCTCTATGTCTTCCTCCAACCTGCACAATATGTCCCCCAACTTCGTGTCCTTTTATTTATTTATTTTTAAATAACCCAGTAAGTCCAATTAGTGCTTCCCATAAGTTGTTTATTTTCAACCAAAAAAGTCAATAATCTAAAGAGAGGTGCAAGGAAATTTGTTCTTACAATGTTAAAACAATTTTAGTCCAAGTAATGATCTGAGTGTTTGACTAGTGTTTTAAGTGTTCCACATTTCAAACTTAGAGCCCAACATTCCAATCTTAAGTTACTTTTTCTTAAAAACAAACACACAAACAGAAACAGATCATAGTTGTATGACCTGATTTTCAAGGAAGTACACAGGATAAGTATGAATATAAACAATGTTTTCTAGAATCAGACTGTTGCACTCTCAGTTCACATGCTGAGTCTCTCTTGGAGGAGTGGGAAGGGCCAAAAGACTAAAAAATGAAACAGATTTGAGCACAAATTTGAAATAGGACAGCAAATTTAGCAATCAATCCTACTCACCTATTAATTCAAACTTCTCTCAACTTTAAAATAAAATTCTGTAGGCAGCAGTTTTATGATAGACTTGTCATGAATTTTAAAATTTAATTCCAAGAGAAGTTAGCTTTGGTTTATATCAATGCTCTTGAAGAAATTAAGTCAGAGTTTCCAATCTGTCACAATTAACAAGTCTCAGTCTCCCTCTCCCCTACTGCCATCTCCCATCTCTCTGTATAACTCAAACTCAATTTGTGATCTTCTGCTTCAGTCTCTGGAGCGCCAAGATTACAGCCCTACACCACCAAGATCAACTCCCTGGTTTTCTATAGCAAAGTTTTTTCAACATGTTATAGTATACATGTCCTTAATAAAGTAACACAATCAAAAGCTCACTTCAAAATTTGTTTTTGTAATAGCTGGGATTGAACCCAGGGCCTTGCCCATACTAGATCATGAACCACTGAACCATATCCCCAGTCCCAAAGCTTCATACTAGAAGATAACATAGGAAAAAACTAGATGGGTCCCGGGTTATAGCAATTGCTTTGCAAAATACAATGCCAAAAGGCAGGATCCATGAAGGAAATGATTGATAAGTTGGATCACACTGAAATTAAAAAACTTCTACGAAAAACAATGTGAAGAGAATTAGAAGATAAGCCATAGGCTGGGAGAATACTTGAAGATAACGTAGCTGATAAGGGATCATTATCCAAAATATATAAAGTCTTAAGACAACAAACATCCAGGTTTTAAAAATACTGGCAAACACCTTAAAAGACACTTTGCCAAAAATATACAGATGACAAATAAGCACATGAACACATGCTCTATATCTTAGGGGTGTGGGGGTGAATTAAAATCACAATTACACACCAAATACAGGTGAAGATTTGGAGCAACAGGGGCTTCAGGAAGAATTCACTGCTGGTGGAAATGTTATAGCCATAGTGAAAGATGGGTTAGCAGTCTGTTATGAAATTAAATGTATTCTGGGGCTCTAGAGATGGCTCAGCAGGTAAAAATGCCTTCTATGCAAGCCTGACAACCTTGTTTAATCTGTAATCCCAACCCTCCTATGGGAAGATGGGAGGTGGAGACCTAAGAATCAGCCTGAACCTCAGAGGCCAGCTATACTGGAGTGAGCTGTGTGGTGGTAGAAACAAGGGAGACCCTGCCTCAACGAAGTGAAAACAAGAATTGAATCTGGAAAGTCGTTCCCTACTTCCACATGCCCGTGTGCCAACACTGATACGCACCATACACACACACACACACACACACACACACACACACACACACACACACACACACAGAGTAATTAAACATATTGTTAAGACAGCCCAGCCATCACACTCTTGTTACTTACTTTAATGAGTTGAAATTTTATGTCCCCCAAAACCCCACCCTGCTTGTTTACAGCAGCTTCAGTTACAATTGTTCAAGCCTGGAAACAACCAGGATATTCTTCCGCAGGTAAATGATGAGATAACTGGTTTATCCAGACAATGGGATATTATTCAACACCAAAAATAAATGTACCACTGAACCATGAAAAGACACCAAACAATCCTCACGTATTACTGGCTAGAAGAAGCCAATCTAAAAGCTAAAGATCACATATAAAGGCTTATTATTTTACTTACTTGTTGCTGTTTAGCTATAAAAGTTTGAAAGTTAAAAATAAAAGGGAGCTGGAGAGATGGCTCAGCGGCTGCTCCTGCAGAAGACCCGGGTTCAAATTCCAGCACCCGCATGGGGATCATTCGCCCTCTCTGGCCTCTGAGGGCATTGCATGACATGGGTGCACTTACAGGCATGCTGGCAATACACTCACATGCAATAATTTTTTAAGCGCTTATAAAAATAAAAGGTAAGCACTAAGACTATCAAAAGGTAACTTCTCAAATAAGATTTCTTAAATGCTTAAGGTCATCAACTAGAACTTCTGTGAGTTGGGAATGATATTAAACTTGAGATGAAACCACTCTAATTCCTAAGAAAGTTCTTTAGCTCCAACTAGGGTAGAAACAATTTCTATTTCCAAGTCCCCAAAAGAAAGATTTACCCCATCAACGACTTCCGCAATAGATTACCAAAAACATTAATTCAAAAGAAATTTTATGCTTAAAAAAAAAAGGCTGGATTTGTGTCCCAAATTACATTGCACACGAAAGGGAACGAATAGTGCACTGGAAAAAAAGGGTAGGCGCAGGTTATGTATGCATACAGGATCTACCTGGGATCATTTTAATTAAAAAATTCTAGACATTCCAAACATATCTTCACAATCGTCGGGCCAAAGCCTTTCAATTTTCTGTATAAAGGCGTCAAGCTTCCTCAAAAAAAATAAAAATAAAAAAAAAAATAAATCAAAGGTTTAAGAAAAGGAAATACGTGTTGTGCAAACAAGTATGTAGCCTTCTGAGCATTGTTGTGGTCACCTAAAGCTTTTCGGCCTGAGCGGAAAGGCCATCCTGGTAACCATGATTCAGGACTTCCGTGTCTCTTCCACCCCAGAAGCACCTGGCCTGCAGGCGGCCGTCTCGTGCCCCTGAAGTCGCAGGCGGAACCCTGGAGCCCTGCGCCGCAGCGAGAAGGCAGCGTCGCCGGCCAGAGCGTGAAGAACCAGGGTGCGCCCCGCGGTAAAGAGGGACCGCGACCTGCAGGACCCGGTCACTGACCCCAGTCCTCCGGGACCAGCCTCCTCGCAGCCCCGAGAGGCGTCCGGTCATTCCAAGTCCGCACCCTGCACGCCCCCCTCACCTCTCCTGGGCACCCGCACCCCCAGCGCGCACTCACCGGTGCCGGGCCGGCTGTTGGCGCCGCAGGCGCCCCACGCAGCCCGTCCTCCTCTTCGGGGGGCTCGTCCAGCAGGACCCGGCTTCGGCTCAGCTTCCACATCTCGGGCGTCCGACACAGCGTTGCTCCCCGACTGCGGGCAGGAGCTGCGCGGCCTCTCAGGAGGAGAATCCTAGCGCCCGACCTCCTTCCCCGCCCCCTGCCCGCCCCCAGTCCTCCCCGGGCCCCTCGGCCCCTCGGTTCCCGCCCCGAACCCCCTCCGCTGCTCTGCCGGGTCTCTTCCGCCCCTGGGGTCCCCTCTCCTGGCGGCCCAAGGTCCTCCTCCAGCCCCTCGGGTCCCGTAGGACCCGGCCCAGCCCTCAGCCCCGACTCTCCGCCCGCGTCTTTGCAGCCCCTCGGGTCCCCGGCCGCCCCAGCCTCCCCAGGGTCGCAGCAGCCCTCTCAGGGTGCCCTCCTCCCCAGGGTAATGGGGCCTACAGAGCTCTTTACACAGGAACTGCGAACCCAGGCACAACAAAACCACGCGACCTTTCACCCCCCGGGAACCCCCCTTTAACCCCTGGCCCTCTCCTCACTTGGCCGGATGGGCGTGGCCGATCACCACGACAACGCCGAGGCGCAGCCACCGCTTAATGCGCATGTCCGCCCCTGTGCGCCTTCGGACCGAGGGCGGGGCTTTGCTGACCGCAGGCTGAGGGGCAGGAGTCCATATGAGACCTGTCAGCACTGATTCTGGAGGGTCTGTGCAGTATTTGAGGAGGTGGACCACGGGAGAAGGGTGGGTACCCCAGGAGGAAGGAGAGTCTCCCAGAGATAGAGTCCCTGGTGGACACTGGTCACTTTCTGCTCCCGTGAGACCTGAACTGGGCCTGCATTGATGAAGGGATAGACAGATGGTAACCAACAAGGGAGGAAAGAGAATCAGTCAGTGTCCAGAGAAGAGTCCAAGGATCTAGAGGAAATGAGGTGGGTGAGGCGGCAGTGCCAGTTGGACCCGGGTCCTCACCCTTTGCTTCCTGTGGACCTTTTGTTGGGCCAGCACAGTTGGTCTTGCAGGGTCCCACTATTGCCATATCTGGCTATCCCAGCCTGGGGTGATTCCAGCTTACTGTAGGGCGTTTTCAAGGCAAATCTTCCAGAATCTACAGTCCAAAGCTCCACACATTGTAATGGACAAAACAATTCACACACCCCCACATAACAGCATAGTAAACATTCAGGCAGACTGTGTGCAAGGTCCAGCAGGCACAGACGTTGGGGAGAAATTTTGTGAGATTCTGTCAAATTTTTAATTTATCTTTTATTGAGAAAATTTTTTCTTGATATCCTTTTATATATTTTCAGGTCAAATTTCTATCATTTAAAAAAGGATCCAAAACTGGGGAGATAGTTTAGTTGGTAAAGTGCTTGCACCCATCACTGGAGAAGATCACTGGTGCTTGCTGGACAGTCGACCTAGCCCAATCCTCGAATCTCAGGTTCCAGGGAGAAATGCTGTATCTAAAGCAAGGTGCCCAGCTCCTAAGGAACAAGACTTAAGGTTTATCTCTGGTTTATACACACAGATACATGTGCAAGTCCACCCTTGTGTACCCACCCCCCCACATGAACAAGCATCCACATACACAAAAATAAAACCAGGGGCTTGAAAAAATGAGTCAGTTGGCAAAGCACCTGCCACACAAGCACGAGGATCTGAATTTAGATCTCTAGCACCCACAAAACAACTGGACATGGCCTCACATTGGTACCCCTGGCACTGGGGTAGGCAGAGGACAGGCAGATTCCCAGAGATCACTGGCCAGCCAGTCTAGCCAATCAGTGAGCTCTGGGGTGAGAGACCATGCCTTTAAAAATAGAACGCAGTGTGATAGAGGAAGACACCTAATGTTGAACCTCTGTCCTCCACAGGAATGCATATGTACACCACACATATACACTCACACACTATGCGCATAAATAATAAAATCCACAACTGCAAGCTTTTGTAAAAAAATAAACAAATAGGCTGGGCGTGGTGGCGCAGGCCTTTAATCCCAGCACTCAGGAGGCAGAGGCAGGCGGATCTCTGTGAGTTCAAGGCCAGCCTGGTCTACATGGTGAATTCCAGGACAGCTGGGGCTACAGGGAGACCCTGTCTCAAAAAGACAAACAAACAAACAAACAAATATTTTAGCTAAACCTAGAAATTCCTTTTTCACGTTTGTCAAGTATTTTAAAAAACATTGAAAGTGCACACAGGGTATATACCTTTTCAAGCTAGCTCAGGCCTGGCTTGACTAAGACAGTTTAGGGACTGCAGCACAGAAAGAATAAGCAACCACAGTACTTTTAAGTCCACAGAAAGGAAGGAGGCACAAAGCCACGGTGCAAACAGCACATTTACAGTTGCAGCCCAGGACTCCCTTTTAGGATGTGTCATATCCAGATCAGAATCAGAGCAGTAAGTTAAACTAATTTCCTCAAAATCCCAAACAACTCAGAAGGCTAGTCCTGCTATCCCAAATGCCAAATTCTAGAATACTTCAAACAGCACTGAATTCCTTTTGTAGAAGAGCACTGCAGGTTAGGAAGGGAGAAAGGTGGGCAGGAGAGGAAAGTAGAGATGGGCTCTGTGAAGAACACTCAGCTCCAGTGAACTGGGCATAGGTCATTCATTCCCTCATCTTTGAGTCCTGCTATTTTCAAAGTTGGTAAGAGGTGTATTTTATATAGTCCAGCTCATAAAACCACAATCCTTACACATGCAAATTCATTTTTGAATCTAAATAAGTCTTGACTAAAGAATCCTTTCCTGAACCTTCAGTTAGAGGAAACTGATAATTTTAGACTGAACTGTATTTATTGACTAAAATAAAATTCATTGGTATAGAAACTTTTTGCTTAAAAAAGATTAAGTGTGGGGCTGGAGAGATGGCTCAGCAGTAGAGAGAACTGACTGCTCTTGCAGAGGATCCGGGTTCGATTCCTAGCACCCACATGGCGGCTATGAACCGTCCTTAACTCCAGTTCCAGGGGACTCCAAAGCCCTCTTCTGACCTCCGCGGCATTGCATGACATGGGTGCACGCACATACATGCAGGCAATATACACATAAAATAAAAATAATAAATAAAATATTTTTTAAAAAGATTAAGTGTATTATCTCACTCTGAATTCAAAATGCATAAAGTTCAACTTACTGAGATATTACAACAAAGCTCTTGCTCCAAAAGGAGTAAAAAATTCTTCTGAGACAAATGAGTGACCATGGCTCAGAGCACAGATTCAGGTTGCCCTGGATGCTATGTCCCATTTGTGGTGTGAACTTTTATAATCATAAAACAAATCATAAGTTGATACATTTCTTTCAACCAGATTGGTGGAAGTATCAGGTGGAGGGTTTGGGGGCTGTAAGCCAGGGAGGAATCTTAAAAATTTCTTCAGTGTTTACATTTTTAATTTTAGGATTGAGGGAGACTACAGGTCTGCTAAGCTTAATGATACATCTGAGAAGTTTACTTAATATTGAAAGGAATGTTAGATATAAAAGCTATGGTAAATGGCTATTAAAGGTCCTAAAATAACCCATGATAATACAGGTTCTTGACCTGCCACATTTTATCTTTCCACAGTCACAGTCCTGTAGCCAGTTGAGATCAGCAGTCTGCATGATCTTTAATATGGGGGTAGCTTCTTCAGAGAATTCCAGTTCACAGGTAATGCATAGGAGACAGTCATCAGTAATAGGAGTTTGCTGTGAAGTGAGGGTAACCTGAGCATAATTTCTCTGCCACCTGTACAGCTCTCCATAATCAATGAAGACTGCAGGAATGAAGTTCCTAAAGCCATTAAAGGTTCTCCTCCTTCAATAAGCTCTCTGATTGATGGGCACTGCTTTATTCTTCACTGGAGCTGCAGTCACTCCTAACATTCTGAAAGCAATGTGAAGTATCCCCCACAGCCGTAGGAAGGCCTCCCCACCCAGTAAGCCAGGGCCAGTGGGTTTCTCCTTCAGCATTCAGCCTCCACTCATATCCCTAGACCATTCAAAGGTCAAGGCCTTTTCATTATTTCCCATTTCCTCCCCAGGAAATTATGATTATAATAAAATACCAAGAAGAATAGTAACTACACTTGCCCTTCCCAAGCAGATACTATTTTTAAAGCATCTTTTGTATCTGGTGTCTTATATGAATCATTCTGAGATCTTCACTAACAATGATTTAAAAATCATTATCATTTTTTTTTAATTAGAAGAAGCATTTCATTACAACAGCATTAACCTATTTGATTATAATAAAATACCAAGAAGAATAGTAACTACACTTGCCCTTCCCAAGCAGATACTATTTTTAAAGCATCTTTTGTATCTGGTGTCTTATATGAATCATTCTGAGATCTTCACTAACAATGATTTAAAAATCATTATCATTTTTTTTTAATTAGAAGAAGCATTTCATTACAACAGCATTGACATATTCAATAACAATTTCCAGAGCTAAGATGCATCTCTTTCAAAAT